AAGTTTTTAAATTCCTTGTTTTGTTGTGATTATATTTTTATGATTATTTTACTTCCTTTTATGTAAAGCACTTTGAATTACCATTGTGTACGAAATGTGCTATATAAATAAACTTGCCTTGTCTTCTGCCCTACGGCTTTCCGGTGATCAGAAAGAGCAAATTTCCTTGGAGTTGTTACAAATGCCGTGCTGCATATGCAGCTCGTGCAGGGCACCCGCTTGCCTGGGCCGCGTCCATGCTGAGGCTGTGCTCACTGAGACAGACTACTCTCACTGCAAGAGCATGAGTCTCGCCCTGCTTCACTTGCGGATCGCCTTCTTCAAAGAAGGCGGCCCCACCATTGCCTCTGTCCTGTTTCTCCCCTGCCAGCTGCGCTCAGAGAAAGAAACAGTGGAGTCACGTGGCTGAGCAACTGGGCTCAAGTGATCTCATGTGGGCACAGGTCCCGCGTAATCTTGGTTTCCTGTAGGGGTGACCCAGAATAGTTGAAGATTCGTTGCTTCGATAGGAGGAGCCTGATTCGACTACCAATCTCACAGTCGAATCTTCACAGAAGTGTTATGAAACGAGGATCATGCCATTTTGGTTATATGGGGGTGCTCAATGTCTAATTTCACATAGAACTACCAGTTTTGTCTCAATAAGTTAATATTACAGTCTATTATAGCAATGCTGTAAATAAAAATGTGAAAAGAAAGACGTTTTTAATAAATCTTTTTAACGTGTGTGAATCCAACCACCCCTTTGACAGATTTAAGTTTCACTTTCCATGATATGTGACAAATAGAGGAGCATCTTGGCGGCTTCTGCCAGCCAACGTTAACACCTTGTCCTAACCAGACGCGACGCGACAAGATTCCAGTGACAAGCAATTTGGCTGTCCGTAACTAACCCTAACTTGATGCAAGAGATCACTCCAATATCACAGCCATTGCAAAGCGAGAAGCGCACCGCACTCCAACTGAAATGGACAAGTTTATAATTTAATTCATAAATATTAAACCTTTTTAACATTGTTAAAACTACATGAGTGACTACTGAGTGACTGAGCTTATCTTTGTAGTGGAAAACACTTCTTGGTTCGCAGTGAGTTCACAGTTTATGTAAATGTTTGCCTTAATTTATTTTCAAGATCTGAGGTAAACTATCTATTGTTGCTTTTCTGTATGGCTATAAATGTCACGCAATATAAAATCAAACTCACATTAAACACTTTTAACATTGAATAAAGCACATACAAAAGAGATTATAATTGTCATAGTTTGCATGTTGTTCCAGCCGCGTCATCACAGAAATAGAAACCATTTCTAAAATAGAAACTTTGCGTGTTGCCGTTGTGGCTGGGTAGGACAAAAACTCAGATTAACATGGAAAAGACACCTTTTATCGCATGTCAGAGCGTTGCATGTTGTTTCTATGTATAGTGTGTGAAAGAAAATAAACACACACACACATGATTCGACTATCAGTCTACTATATGCAATACTTGATGAATCTTATTCGACTATGTCAATCCTTAGTCAGGGACACTCCTTTTCCTGAGATGCAAAAATGAGCATTGTGTAACCTGCCGTGCTATCAGGCTGCATGCGGGTAGATGACTGTCACTATCAGTCGAAAGATTCTGATGAGATGATGCTCAGAGTCGACTTGAATAGCAGTCGGCTCCATTCCTTTTGGCAGGTTGAAATGCCATTTGTTCATGCAGCTACACGAACATGAACAAATAAGGCTTCAGTATTCAGAGTAAACAGGAGTTTCCCCATAGAGTCAATGAGGCAAACCCTCAGTCCCGTAACTCAGGGAACCAAGGTTATGTTGGTAACTGGAGCATTAATTTGGTACTGGCACGCTGTCTTTGCCAGTAGTGCAGTAAGTTCTCTTTCACGCTTCATCGAACAAAAACACACAAAATTATTTCAAAATACACTTTGTTTTTGACGAGTGACCTCATAAAGACCTCTGGTAAAGATGGCGCCGACGCTGATGGCAGCCTCCGTGGCGTGCTCCGCAGTTGTTTTTATGTTTTTGTTAGTTTGTCCTGTCTTTAGTTATATCCCTACAATCAGTTTCACCAGAGACGAATTGCTGGACATTCGGAAGTACACACCACCTGATATTTCACCGGTTTTCGACTATTCGGATGTTTTGCTGGACATTGTTGTCGGGGGAGCTGTGGCGCTGATCAAGCGCTTCAGGAAAACAGTCCTAAATGAGTTAAAAAATCTTAAATGACTGTAAAGAGTTGGGAGAAAACCAGATGTGTGTAAGATCTGCAGAGTCGTTTAATCATCCTCTGCTGAGATCATGAGAGATGCTCAGTCATCTCTCAATTAATTAACTTAATTATCTAATTAACTGCAATGCTGCTTCAGTCTTATTCTTAGCACTCTGTAGTGTGCATACTGAGCAGTGTTCATTTTAGTAACTCGTCTGGGCTGGCCCATGTGGGGCCCTCAAGGAAACTGAGGACAAATCTGGCTGGGCCCCAGTTAGATTTCCTAGGTGCCACCCATCTGGGAATAATCTCTTTAATTACAGATTATTTAATTTAGTTTTTTTTATTACTTATCTGATTCACAGTATCAACTTCGTCTGAACTCAGAATTGTTCTTCTGGGTAAAACTGGATCAGGAAAGAGTTCAACGGGAAACACCATCCTGGATCTGCAGTACTTTGAGACGGGAGATTCACAAGAGTCATTTACTGAAACTTGTGAGAAAGGAAATGTGAGGATTGATGAAAGGAGGATCTCAGTCATTGACACTCCAGGCCTGTTTGATACGACACTGTCACACAAGAAAATGAAGAATGAAATAAAGAAGTGTGTGGAGAAGTCTCTTCCTGGTCCTCATGTGTTTCTGCTGGTCATTAGAGCGGGGAGATTCACAGAAGAAGAGAAAAACACAGTGAAATGGATTCAGAAGAACTTTGGAGAAGAAGCTGCACGTTACACCATCATTCTGTTCACTCACGCTGATCATCTGAGGGGGAAACCATTACAGGAGTATCTTAGTGAAAACGATGATCTCCAGGGTCTTGTTTTTCAGTGTAATGGCATATATCACTCATTCAATAATGAAGACATTGAGAATCGCTCTCAGGTCACTGAACTGCTGGAGAAGATTGAGATGATGGTGAGAGAAAACAAAGGACAGCACTACAGCAATAAGATGTACCAGGAAGCTCAGAGAAAGAAACCTTTCTGTAAGTGTATCTTTCTATTATTTTGAAGCATAATACAACCGTGAGCTACAAGTCAGCTACACTCCAAATGCCAGAGCTCTTTCTTAATACAGTTATTTTTACATGCTGGTTAAATGCTGTGTTTAATCACATATATTTTAATCTGATTCACAGCATCGACATCTGAACTCAGGATTGTTCTGCTGGGCAAAGCTGGATCAGGAAA